GGTAATCGGCGATTGTAATACCGATCTACTAATTCACGTAACAAAAATCCGGTAAATTACTGTAGGCCTCTGTATAAAGGACCCGATCCTACGGTCTTGGTAGTCATCAATAGGGTAAAACCTTATAAATTAGATTGGTAAAAATAGGGCCTGACAAGCTCTATGGTTGAAGTGAGCCCTCTATCTAAAGGTGACAAACAACACGTCTAAACTAAAAAAAAAATTTTTTTTTTTTTTTTTAAAAAAAAATCTAAATTAATCGAAATATACTTTTTTACTACGAAGAAGGTTTAAGATTAAAGAATTATTTTGTAATTTTAATTGTCCATATATAATAATATAAACAGAGATATCTAATTTAACTAAATAAAACAAAATGAATTGACAAAAATTTTGTAAAACTAAACATATAATGGAAGTTGAGGAAGATGTTCCTTGGAGTAAATTTTGCAACTCCTTCAACTAATCCACATCCTCCGGAAATATCTCCAAATATTTCCAAATGGATCACAGTGTTCCGAATCTGAACGCTGGATAATTAGCTTCAATGAAGCCTGCTTCATCCACTTCGACAATGAAATCAGTAGGGAATTGAGTTTTTAATGAAGACATTATCTTTTTGTTTTGTGATTAAAGAAAAATAAAAAATTTGTTTATGAGGGTCAAGTAACAGAGAGAGAATCTCGTGACGTAGAAAATCTCCAAGAAAACAAATATATAATGACTTATACCTTGTGAAGTTCCGTTTACCAAAATACGATTTGAAATTATTTAAAATAATTTTATTTATAACTAACCGTCGTTTAGGTTTTAGTACGGGAACACGGTTGCGTAGCTCTAACAAAGGAACTTGGATTCTTTGGTAGGAGACTATTTTGCGTTGCTCGACTTTGTGAAAGCAGGATACGAGTATATAAATTTGAGATGTATTATTTGAAGTCATTTCTCGTTTCTTTCTTTTTTAAAAATATATAATAATAAGGGGAAAATGTTTTGATAAGATTAACGGTTCTCAAACTTATATTGGACGCTTCAGATACGACTAGTTCACTGATTGGTTGTATTTATATTTAACATGATCAATGTTTCTATAAAACGTTGGATGACGTAAACATATTTTATAATGAATTATTATTTGAGATTAGATCAACGATCTCATCATTCTGAAATCTTTGGGCCACCATCAACTTTTCTTAATATATCCCTTTGCTCTAAAAATTCAAATTCTGCCCTTAATAAATGCTCTTTTATCAATTTTTGTTTAAATTTACTACCAGATTCGTTCATATAAGATTTATATAATTTACATATTCATAGCAAAATTAAATATGCTACAGTCACGTCCGCTTAATGAAAAATGAAAAGCAGAATCCATAATTGAGATTCATGAATCCTTTAAAATGTTGATAGGAAAAAAGGTTTTGAATATAATGTTGAAAAATAAAAATAAGAACATTTCTTTGCGATAATTTCTTACCTTGTAAAATTTTGTCTATATTTACATCTTGCTGCATGGCCGCTTGAGTGAAATCACTAATTATAAGAAATGGTTGATTCGCATTCAAATTACCAACAGGTTCAAACTAATTAAAGGTACGTAAAAACGAAGATCTTAATTAGAATTTAAATTCGCGTTCTAAAAAATATTTTTGATTCCAAAACTCACATATTTTATAGAAAGTCCTAACGATATCTGTTGAATTATTAGATATCTTTTCAATAATATTTTTAAAACTTCTATTTTCAAATAATTCCTATAAGAAAGAAATATCAGTAATTTTATCAAATGTACATGCAACTATTTCGAACGGAAACCTACCTGAACTTTCTTGATAAACATCTTAAAATATTCCTTATCATCAATAACAGAATTATCTATGGTCAAAGTATTTTTCGCAAATTGGGTGGAATATTTCAATCGTATGTGAGCGTCTAACATTAATATGAGAATAAGAATTTCGGGACAAAATGTTACTGGGAAGATCGGTGAATATGCTCTGTAGAAGATAAATAGAGATTTTTCTTTAAAAATAAAAAAATTAAATGAAATTTGATCAATTTAATAAGCGTGTTAACTTACCAATTTCCGAGTAATTCCAATCAATGCCATAGGACAATTATTACTAGTAGTTATATTAAAGAATTGTACACGAATGGTTTAGTACAATTCTCCACAAATTCATCGAAATTATAAATAACGATGATGTTAGGTTTTGTTGGTTTCCCGATTTAAACAGATCAAATAATTCAAGATCCCTTGCTAAGAATAGAGATATTAAAATGAACACCATCCAATGATTTTAAAGGACTTTGATTCGCGTTAATAATATGTATACCTAACTGACGAGTAAGTTATCTACGTGCTGTCGTGTCATCAGTTTGATATAACCCGTTCAAGTATACGATACAAAAATCGTCATCGTACTTTTCGTAGAACCTTATTATATACATAAAAAATATAAATCGTTTAAAAATTCTTTCAGAATATACAAAACGAGTTCACGTGGTTATGTTTAAACAAATTACCATTGTCTTCCAACAACCAGACGGGCCAATAAGCATGCAAGTATTTCTTTCGCCAAAATCGACGGCTCTATTTAATAATCTTATTTAATACCTTTAAAAAAAAAAAAAAAAATTCAAAACACATACTTGTACTTTTTCTTTAAACCTACAAGTGTTTGTGATATTACATATCCAGATAGTCTTTCTTTGAGGGATTTGCGTGTTTTTGCAATACTTTCTTCTGACCACGTTTGCTTTATGATTTTTTTTAAAATTTTGATGTCTACGCAAATAGTGACATCTAAGCATTGGTCCAAATTCGATCTTATCACATGAAAGATCATGAAAGGCAACAAAATTGCGAAACTGATGATAAACTTCGTATTTTAGACAATTTTGTTATTAAATGTCAAGTCCACAAAAATATAACCGATATTTTGGAAAATATGAAATTCAAAGGTATGGTGTAAAAAAATAGAAAAAAAAAATTCTCTATAAAATAGTATTAAATTATTGTTTAAATAATATAGCTGTTCTGGAGCTCAATATATCCGGTATATTAGTTAGTTGTATTAAAACAAAAGAATCTTTATGCATTAGCGAATGCTATGATTTTTTGATGAGGTAGAAATTTATATAAACTTAACGAGATATATATATATGAAATCACACGAAAAGTATTAAATCATTTCGTTTTTAATAGTACGCGGATAAGTTTTATAATTCTACGGATGATAATCCTAAAGTTGATGAAGGAGGATCAAATAAAGACGATGTGGAAACTTCAATTGCTAAAGAAATTGCCCAAATGAAACAACCTCATAAATCGTGTCGTTTTGCATCAATACAAACTGGAGCTAATTGCGGTACTTATTGATCCTTTCTATATTTAATCAAATCTCTTACTCATGTACTAACTACTTTACATCATAAATTTGTTAGTCGTATTCATCAAGACAATCCTCCTGTAAACCCTGTTCAACTCGTTCATTCTATTTTGACCGATTTGTACAATTCAGAACAAAGAAAGCTAGGTAGTAATTTCTTATTGATTTTTCTTCTTTTAATTTAAATTCTTTTAATTAAATGGAGTAAAAGTAATTCATATTTTGATTATGAATCTAAGATTTTCTATGAGGATGGTTCCCATTGTACAAACATGTTACGACAATATGAATGATTTTAATTGGCAGATGAAATATTGAAACCACGATTTTATTCATTAAAAGACGATCAACAAAAGATTATAGGGTAAAAATATTCTGTCATCTTTTTAACAAACTAATAATTATGTTATGATTATTTTTTTTTAAAAAAAAAAATAGTATGCAGTTATTCCGAATATCAGGCATAATCAGTAGATAGAATGGAACTAATTACAATGATTGCAAAATTAGTTGATCAACACATAGTAAATCTCGATGATCAGAATTAGTGATAATCGTGGATGTGTTCAAGGTAGCTTACAATCAAATTAAATTTTTTATCGTTGTATAATATCTTAAATTAACTTTCTTAAAAAAATAGAGTATTTGTGGAATGAGTATTCTCGAGGATTATAATAAGTTGAAAAAGTACAATATAAAGAAAATTTTCGAAGAATTAAACGAAAGAAAACAAGTTCCTATAGATATTTAGAAATTCAATCGGCATCACCATTTTCATTATTATCTTAGAAACAGCCTAACATAACCAATAAGATCATTTCTTAATATTGGCAAATTTTAAAACTTGATCGTTGTAAAAAAGATTGGAATTTTATCAAATTTCTTTTTTATAAACCCTTAAATGATGATTTTTAATATATAATCAATTATCATGCAGAACTTTATACCATTTATCATTTTTAAATAAAACGTTAATATATTATCAATATACAAAAGTTTCAAATTTAATTTTTATATAATATTTAAATAAAAGATTATTTGCTATTTTATAAAAATATAAAAAAGGATATAAATAGCATTTAATTATCTGTTGGTATATTATATTGCTTTTTAATTAAATCCAATTTCTTTATATTAAAGTTGCTAAATAATACTTAAAGATTTAGCAGACTTTTTATTAATAAATTAGATTATAGAATATTAGAAACATGTATATAATTTCTAATAAAAGGTTTTATTCAAATTTAATATAATCATTAATAATAAGTAACTTTAAAATTTATATTAAATAATAATAATAGTTTATGTTTATATATTTTTTAATTTTAGTTTTTAATATAAATAAATATTCATATATTTACTAATTTAATTATACAAACTATAATATCTAATATTAAATTTTTTAAATATATTAAAATAATATAAGAATAAATATTTAAAAATAATATAAATTAAAAGAAGTTAATATTTTTTTAAATAATCAAATAATAAATTTAATTTAAGATAGTTTTAAAAAATATCTTTAAAGATATATATAATAAAAGATAATAAAATAATAAAATTTAAATAATTTAATAAAAATTTTTTTTTAAAAATTATAAATATTTATTTAACCATCTATACAAATGTAAATATAATTAATATTTCTCTTGAAAAAGTTAAATTTATTATTTTAAAATAATATTTATTATATTAAAGATTTTTCATATCTTTTATTATAATTTTAATATAGTTTTATCTGAATTTAGACTATTATTAAAAATTTTCATTTCTTATTTATATTAATAACTATAATAAATAAATCTTTAAAAAATTGAAATTCTTATTATAAAAAAATAATAATTATTATATAAAGTTTATATTAAACAAAAAGTTTAAATAATTATACTTATTTTAAATATTATTAATTTTTAAAAGATTATATTATATTATTATTATATTATATAAATATATATTTCTAATCACTAATAAATATTTATTTTAATTTTGTAATATTAATTAATTTTTTTTAGATATTCTATTTTTCAATTAATTTTATATAATAATAAATTTAAATAATATCTTAAAAATTTATATCATAATTTGAAATCTGAAAGAATAAAATATATTCAAACATAAAATAATACTTGAAGAATATAATAATATATTTTATTAAAGAGAATAATAAATATAAATTTTTTTTAAAAGTTTTGATATTTTTAACAAATTTATATTTAGTAATAATTTTATTTTTTTAGTAGCAGTAGTTAAGCTAATGACTTAAAATTGTAAATATAAATATTTTTTAAATTTTGATTTTTTTACAAATTTATGCTTTCTAATAATTTTATTTATTTTAATATATTTTAATAAATTTATATTTAGTAATTATTTTTATTCTTTTTTTTCAAAAATTATTTTTATTTTTTTATTTTAATTTTTTTATTTTTAATTTTTATATTTTTCTATTCTTTTTTTTTAATTTTTTTTTTGCTTTTTATTTTTTTAAAATATTTTTAAATTAGTTTTTATTCTTTTTTATGTTTTAAAGAATAGAATTTTAAACAGAATTTTAAAAATCTCTTATATTTTTTTTGATTTTTAATGATAATATTACAGCTATCTTCTGTAACTATTTTTAAAGTTTGTTTGAGTCAACTAATTTCCAGCTATCTTTTTTAAATATCTAAAAGAACTAATTTTAACAAGTAGTTCTTCAATAGAAAAGACTAATAAAAAGTATTAATTTTCATAATGCTTTTTTTAAATTGTTCATTAATCCTTTACTCTCAAGAAATTTACATCTTTCAGAACTAATAAATTTGAGATTAATATCTAATAAAAAGAAAGGTTTAAAAAAACATATAATTTTAACAAGTTTTTAGCTAAGCTGCCTAGTTAGTTTTTGATTATAGCGATTTTCTAACATAGGAGCACCTATATTATTAAGTTTTATCAGAAGCTCTTTAATACTCTCAAACTTTCACGTTAAAATATTTATCAATTTAGATAACAACTATCAGCAAATATTATATGAAGTCTAATTTATATAATTGTAAGAACTAGAAAATCTCACTAAGATTAGCAGATTATATAACATTATAGATTTTCAAAAGAGTATTATTGTTTATGAAGATAATTAAATAATTATTTATTTATGTTAAAAGTTGTATTAATTCTGATCATTATTTTAGATACCTTCTAATACTCACTTTTTTGTAAGCAAAAGAAAAAAAAAATAAATAAGAAAATATCTGAGAGAAGTAACGAAAAATATATTTTAACAAAAAAATATTAATATTTAGACTATCAACAGAATAGTTTTAGATAAGAATATAAGAAATAAAAAAGAAAAAAGTTTAAAAAATGAGTTTTTGTTTTTATTCGCAGGCTAAGTCATAATTGCCTTTAAATATACATATTTTTTACATAAAAATTCTTAAACAAAATTTAATGAGAAAGAGTTTAAAATCTTTTATAATTCAAATTAAAATTTATATATAAATTTTAGCAAAAATTACGTATTATAGGAATTTTTCAAATTCATTATTCTACATATCTCTAGTTTTTAAGTTAACTAGTAATTTAATTTAGATAATTTTAATGTCATTGAAATCATTTCAATAAAAAGATTCTAATAATAATAAACTTATGTTTTTAGCATTAATATTAATTAAATTATTATAAAAAATAAATTTTACTTATAAATTAAATGAGAAATATTTAGAGTTCTAATTAACTTTAAATATATAATTAATTGAAATTAAATTTATAATTATAATTGTTGTTTAATAAAAACTAAAAATCAGTTTAACTTGAAGACTAAACTAGCAGTTTTTAAATAGAATAGAATAAGTTAAACTAATAATATTTTAATAATAAAATTTCTTTTTTTAGATAAATATTATAAATTTATAAATATAATGATAAATATAATGATTAATAAAAAGAATTTTTACAAATAAAATAAAAAATATTAATAATATTTAAAATCTTTTTCATTTGAGTTATATTTCTTTTCTAATAAAATTACTAAATAATAATTTATTTTATTAATAATTAAACTAAAGTAAATAAAATTTGTTTTTTATATAATTGTAAATTGTATATAATAGTCAAAATAATAAAAATAAAATATTTAAAATGTATTTTTTTTAAAATAATAACTTTTATAATTCTTTTGTAATAATATAAAAATATAAAAAATTATTTAAAGGTGAATAAAATCAAATAATTACTATTTAAGTTAGGCAAAGTTAATTTTAGATTCTCATGATCCAGCTGTATCAGTTTTATAATTCAGAATCTTTTTATAGAAAAAATTTTATCACGTGATCTTACATAATAAACTTTATTATAATTAATTTGAAAATATGAATTTGTTATCTTTTTGTTACTTAAAACTATTGTATAATATTTATTGTAATAATAGTAATATAAATTCATCACATTAGAGATTAGAACTAGTTAAAATAATTAACATATTAACCAGTTAAAGATTTTTTTTAAACCAATTTAACTCTAGCCAAAATTTAATTTCTGATCATAATTAAGATATTTAATATTGCAAAATATTTTTTAAATTTTAGTATTAACCTAAATTAATTTTAATAAATTAATTAACTGATTAGCAAAAATTTTAACTGATTATTACTTAATTAAGAATTTTTAGCTAGATTTAATCTCTACATCACATTTATTTTTTGGTATTTTTTCACATTAAAAATAAATATCTTCAAATAAACTAATTAAATAATAAGAATCTTTTATAGAAATACTATATGTTAATTTATCATTAACGTTTACATTTTCAAAAATTCTTTCTACATTATCACTTTTGCTATTCTTATCATTAATATCTTCTATTTTTGTACTTGAATTTGCTAAAACTTCAAAAGAATTATTATATATATCATATAATAATATATATATATAAATTTATATATAAAAAAAACTACGTGATTATGTTAATTTTAAAATTTTATATTATGAAAATCTAAAAATATTCTTT